ACCTAAAGGCTGTGTTGTTACGAGATGTACTTTCGCCTCCTGTCCCCAGCTAATTGGGTAATCTGCCTCTTTCAATTCAATCGTAGGTGACCATACCCATCCCCCGGTAAGAGGCAATTACACGATTCATGAATCCACTGCTTTGTTGTCCAAACTTTCTGGGAAGTTTCTGCTCATTTTTCCCTGACACGTGCTGGATTTGGCGATGCAGATGATGGCGTCTTACTCGGTCTCCGATGCCGTTGCGACTTATTACTTGTACATGACTTACGTGCATCCATTCATTTTCTCACTGGCGACCATTATCCCCATGCCACCGGATGAAGTGCTGCGCAAAGGCTCAGGGACACTTTGTGAAATGCTGCTCATGGTGCAGGTCAGTTGATATTTTCAAGTTTGGATATCTATGACTATGCATTGTCACATATCTATGAACTAAAAGAGCACGCTTCCCGAGACTAATGACAAAAACACCCAAGACAAACATGAAGAGCACACTGAAACCATTCTTTTGATCATTCTTGTTTTAGCTCCCCCTTTATTGTGCCTCTCACGTACAGGGCTCGCCACATTGATGAAGTTGAGCACGAGCGGCCCACATCCCTGTATGCCTCAAAGGCCCACTTGTGCACTGTGAGAAAGAGGCAGAGTAAAGGGGGAGCATGCCCATCAATCACTCTTGAGAAATGGTATGTCGATTGCAGGCCAACACCAAGGAAGAACGGACACCACAAAAGACCATCCATTCAGTACAACACCCATGGCTGCAAATAGCGTCCAGATGGGGAGGGTGTCTGCAGTAAGGAACGGAGGAACAGTCAGTTTTCAATGTATTGAATTGTATTTAATATTTATGACTACTCCATGTATTAACTTGTCTTTAGGGTGTACAAGTCGAGGCATGCCTCGTCAGGAGGAACATGAGATCCACACATTGTTTGTGTTTGTTTGTCTTTGCAATTTTTCCTGTTTGCAACATGAATCCAAATGAGTGTGCCATTAGATAGCTCCATGGTATGCCATGCGATGTGGTACAATGTGGTACCACAATGCCGTGCTATGTGCTACGACATATACTATGTGGGCCATGTGTGCTGGTTTTGTGGGCAGGAAAGGTGATACCACGTGGGTTGGGTGGTACCTTGTCGGTACCACATGGACTGGGTGGTCTGTAGGGTGGGTCATTCTATATGGACTGGCTGGTACTGCGCGATTCGTGCGGTACAATGCAGGTGGGTGATGCTACTTGCACTGGGCGGTGCAATGCACGGTATGTGTGTGATGCTATGTGGGCCAGGCTTTGGCCCCTCCCTTGTCCCTACCCCAAAAAGGGGTGATACTACGTGGGTTGGGTGGTACCATGTGGACTGGGTGGTACCACATGGACTGTGGTCCGGCCGCGGAGTATTATGTGGGGTGGGTCATTCTATATGGACTGGCTGGTACTGTGCAGTCCGTGAGGTACAATGCAGGTGGGTGATGCTACTTGCACTGGGCGGTGCGATGCGCGGTATGTGTGATACTATGTGGGCCAGGCTGTGGCCCCTCCCCAGTCCCTACCCTGAAAAAGGAGAACCTAGGATAAGTCGCCACCAAGAGTAAGAGTGACAATTTACTTATGCGCTGGAAGCCCTATTCATTCCGCACGGAATCGAGATCATTCATCCGTTTATCAGCGGTTGGTGGGTGCACAGTTGCCACGTGGGCTGGACGGTATTGTCTGGCCTGTGTGATGCTACGTACGTTGGATTGCACCACTCGACCAGATGGCAACATGTGGGGCGGGCCATACTATGTGGACTAAATGGAACTAACATACTCTAACACTGAAAAAAAAGGAAAACAGACAAGGCCATGAAAAAAAAGAAAAACCATGGTCGACATCACACACGATTCAGGTCTTGCCACAGTCATTGGTACTATGTGGGCTGAGCAGTGTTATGCGGCCTGGGTGATACTATGCTGGATTGATCGCACCATGTGGGGTGGGTCATACCATGTCGATCGGGCGGCACTATGTGGGGTGGGTCATACCATATAGATAGTGGAATGTATTTGCTGCTTAGCGTTTAGGTTGTCATAGATCCACATTTTGTTCTTACATCATTGTAATTCCACATAACATGACCTCGTATTAAGTCACTGCACTATTTAGTCACAAATAATAAATGAAAGAGCGAGGAATCAATATCTGATAGATCTCACTCACTGCCAGTGCATTAAAATGGCTCTTCTCTCTCTGTGTCTGTCTCTCCCTGTCTCTGTCTCTCTCTATCTCTTTGTCTGTCTGTCTGTTTGTCTGCCTGTCTGTCTGTGTGTCGATCCGTCTGTCCGTCTCTCTCTGTCCCTCTGTTGCTGTCTCTGTCTCTGTCTCTCTCTCTGTCTCTGTCTCTCTCTCTCTCTCTCTCTCTCTCTCTCTCTCTCTCTCTCTCTCTCCCTCCTCCCCCCCCCCTCTTTTCTCTCTCTGTGTCTTTCTCTCTCTCTGCCTCTGTGCGTCTTTTTGCCCAACTCCTCCCTCTTGGTCTACTCATTGCACAGAATGATATACTCTTTGCCTCTTGGCCTCTTGCCTCCTTGCTACTGGTGCCTCTTGGGGCCTACCAGATCCGTTCCATTTCGGCGGGAGCATCATTGCAGACCAGGGTTGCACCCCTGCCGACCGCCGGCCCCGACCGCCGGCCCCGACCGCCGGCCCCGACCGCCGACCATATTGCAGCCGACCAGCAGGGCCTACCGGTCGGCGGTCTGCCGACCAGTCAGAAAACAACCATCCACTGATTTGTTTTTCAAATCTGAGTTGGGGGCTGTACTGCGCTTGCTGAGTACAGGCGAAATCCGCTGAGAAACTTTTGGGGATGGGGGGGTTGGGGTTGGAGTATAATGGGGGTATAGGGGGGTACAGGGGTGATATAGGGGTATTGGGGGGGGTAATAAGGGTGTTGGGGGCGGTTTTGGGGTGTTGGGGGGTGTATGGGGGCATTGGGGGCCCGCTATGGGGGTGTTGGTGAGCATGCGGAATCGGACTAGGACTCAGAATTTACACAGGCAACCATACAGGCATGAATACAGCATCTGCTGAACATCCAACCTCAGAAGTCATGTCCTGGGATAGCTGTCAGAATTGGAATTGTACAAAGAAGGTTAGCATGACCCCTGCTTGAGGATGACATTCGTAATCGAGAAATGGTCCCAAAAGAATAATAAACAAAAAGACTCAGAAATCACATCCAACTGACTCACACTTGGAAATCTCAGCAAAAGAGATCAAGAGATATCAACGTTCTCTGAAAGATGCAGATTTCTCAGACTGTAACTGTGCAGGCCATTGCACAATGCTACACACCAGATCTTTTCTCCGTAATGTTTTGATTTTTTTTTTTTTTTTAAAATTAATATTTTCAAATTTATCTGGGCGAGGATCCGGATGTGGGCCATCTTACTTGCTGCTGTCTTCTTCTTCTTCTTCCCTTTTTTTTTTTTAAACACGAAGCCCCTTCTATTCTCGGGGGCATCAGTCCGCGTTTACTTATCACCGGCAAGCATGACATCAGTCAGTTTACTGATCACCGGCAAGCATGAGTTCAACTGCACAAAGCATCTCCAGAAAAGGGGACAGCCTTACCCTTGCAGTCCTAGACACCTGTCAAGGGGGGGACTGCCACAACTGAACCCTCCTTCCTTGGGATACTTTGCTGGCCGGGAACCTTCCTGGCAGCACCCAGTCATGCAGCAGAAGTGTCCCAGGGGAGGCTAGGCCCGGGGAAGCCGTCCTAGCGGTCTCTCAGGCCGCCTTGCTGCTGTCTTCTACTCTGCATACCTTTTTTTTTTCCACATACGAACCTTCATGGGGCGCTGGTACAGTTTTGTGTGTCCTTCGATGTCTTGATAGTGTGGTAGGCTTTCGATTTAAGGCACAACAGCCTTTTGGGACGGACGCCATTGCTTTGTCGATCACTGTGGCGCAATCTCCGCAGGCAGAAGTGAGCTCTGTGGTGCGTTTGCACAAAATGTGTGGTATCAACCTGAGTACGGACGCCTCTCGGCCGGGCGGGGCCCGGGCAGGTCGCCCGGGGAAACCAGGCCGGCCAAAAAACAGCCCAGAAATATGTTTGTGTGACGATATATATATATAACAGTTTGTCACAGCCCCTCGTTTGTTGTCCTCTTCTCCCTCTCTGCCTACGGTTTACCGGGCAGTTCTATTTGACGGTTCAGCCTCCTGATGAGTCGGTGAAACTCCGACGAAACAGTTTGTCACAGCCCCTCGTTTGTTGTCC